AAAAAAACATACACAAACAAAACCAAATTAAACCCTGCGGCTCGTGACGATACATTGATGTGTAAAAACACGAAACGATCGGTCTGTGCAAGAAACTGAACAGTATTTATATAATTTTTTACCTCTTATACACAATGCGCAATGTCCAAGATCCGGCGCGTGACGCGTGTACATGCTCTGGCATAGAGACAGATATATATAAGTAGATTCCCGCGGCCCATAGAAACATATCTATGTCTACTATGCCAGAGCACGTACACGTGTCACGCGCCGGATGTTGGACACTGCGGTGTATAAGAGGTAAAAAATTATATAAATACTGTTCAGTTTTTTGCACAGATAGATCGTTTCGTGTCTTTACACATCAATATCAATTTGGTTTTGTTTGTGTATGTTTTTTTGACTCTCAAAGCCGTGATTCCCATTCACTTCCATTATAGGACTTAAGGCTTCAATTAAAGTCTTACAGGTTTGGAGCGACATGAGGGCGAGCAAATGATGACAGAATGTTTGGTTGAACTATTCCTTTAGTGTGTCATGATTCAGTTGGCCTGAAAATGACTGATTCAATCATGCTCCTGTGGCTCAGTGGTAGAACATTGCGTTACCAGCGCAAAAGGTCGTGGGTTCGATTCCCAGGGAACACACATACTGGTAAAAAATGTATAGCCTGAATGCACTGTAAGTCGCTTTGGATAAAAGCGTCTGCTAAATGCATAAATTATTATTAAAACCGGTCTAGATTCGGAAAACTCCCTGGGCACTTGTCACATGACGCGATAGGTAACAAGAGTCAGTTAAAAACCATGTAGTCCACTCCCTGTACTCGTCCAATTCAAGTGATGATTCTCTAACCCCTGTAACCAGGCAACAATGAGGTGAGTCACCAGCTGAAGAATGATGTCAATAAAGAGAGCAGATGTTGAGCAGATGTGTAGCTTGGTTCAGGATGTAAAAGTCTCCCTCTGGAGCAGTCTGCAGCATCAAGGAGCACTTTTAACAGTAAACCACACAAAAACAGAGCGTGACGCAGATTCTCACATTCTCTCTGTGTGCGGTGAAGGTGTGACCGTTTCTGTATTAGATAATGTGCTCAGAAAAAAAAACATTTTACACACAAACATCTTGGATTGCACAAAACCAGCACCATGAAAGTGGGATATGAAATTGACATGATTTTGTTTATTTGGCTTCCTCTTAAGCATGAATGAATAATGACTCTATTAAACTAAACTAAAACTTCACTAGCTGAATAACAGAACTGGACTAGATTTGTATTTCTTGAAGGAAATATCAGTGCTTCAACTGATTAAAGTTCTGGATTCTGTGCAAAATGAATTGTGCATTACAGCTACAAAATGTGATGGAATCAACACACAAGTGCAACACAGTGTTTATGTAGTTAAACAGATAAGAAAAAATACCAATACCAATTAATTACAAGAAAGATTAATCTTAACACAGCGTGTAAACAGTATAATGGTGTCATAACTATGACATTATCTCACTTTAATCCTAATCTCACTTTAAACTTTAATCTTAGATTTCTTTAAAATAGATCTGGGAAAAATAACGTGTTAATTCCTTCGATTAATAATGGCTGTTTAATATGTTAAAAATAATTAACGCAGCATCCATTTTTTCAATTCCTGCAGTAGCTTTGTTAATGTCTTCCCAACACATCCTTTGGCTAGCGTTAAAGTAAGTTCATTTACTGTACATCAAATCTGTTAGAATATTTTAAATTTATTTGTAACTGCTAAATAAAAACAAAATACCTTTAATTACTAATTTAATTAAAATCAATTCAATTATTTCTCCTTCAACCACTGTGTGCTCAGGTTTGCTCTGTGCTTTGGGTCATTGTCATGTTGGAAGGTAAACCTTCTTCCCATTGACATCTTTCTGGCAGAGAGCAGCAGATTTTCCTCAATAATTTGATGGTATTTTGCCCAATCCATGTTTCCTTCTATCCTGACAAGTGCTCCAGTCCCTGCTGCAGAGAAACACCCCATAACAGGATATTACCAGCTCCATGCTTCACTGGAGGAATGCTGTTATTTGGATGCTGAGCTGTATTGGATTTCTGCCAGATGTATGGTTTGGTGTTGAGGCCAAATAATTCAATTTTAGTCTCATCTGCCTCAGAATCTTCAAGGTGTGTTTTGGCAAAGTTCAGTCGTGACTGCATTCTTGCAACCCTCCCATACAAGCCACATTTGTGGAGAATTTGTGATATTGTTGTCACAGGCACACAATGACCACTCTTTGTCATAATTTCCTGCAGCTGCTTCAGAGTTGCTGTAGGCCTCTTTGTAGTCTCTCTGAGCAGTTTCCTCCTGACTCTTTCATCCAGTTTGGAGCGACGTCCTGATCCAGGGAGGGTCTGTGTACCAAATACCTTCACTTCTTAATAATAGACTTCACTGTGCTTCTAGGCATTGATAAAGCCTTTGAAATGTTTTTGTATCCATCTCCGATCGAGCTCAATCAGATCGATTAAGGTGTTTACATGAAGGCTTTTCAGTCCGATTGAGCCGTCAATCTGATTACAAACGGATTATTTGGTTGCATGTAAATGTAGCCACTGTCTTGCCACCCATAGTTGATTGTTTGCTTCATTTGCACTAGCAAGGACTGAAATGCTCCAGGAAAGCTCTTTTCATGCTGAGCTAATCAAAATGACCACAGCTGATCACAGTTGAAAGTCAAATAGCTAGTATGTGCCATTGAGAAGGTGATTAGCTACACCTGATTGAGTTTACAAGTCATTTTTAGGAGGGGGGTGATCCTTTTCCAAATCAGTGATTGTATTTCTTTTTTTTTTTTTCTGACATGTTGATGTTATATCTTTCACTTGGATGTTATACTATATGTTGCACTGAGTAAAGCTGGATAAAATCACATCCAAAATAAAAGTTTTTACATAATATGTGTGTATGTATATATAAATACACACACATTCATGTATATATTTTCAAGTAAAATATGTTATGCTTATATATTAAATATATTTATATATAATATAAATTATATGAATATAAATATATACATGCAAATACATGTAAATATTTTCAAAATATATACTGTATGTGTGTGTATTTATATATACGTTATAAATATACAGAATACACACACATATATTATGTAAACAAAAACTTTTATTTTGGATGCCATTAATCGCGATTAACCGTTTGACATCACTAATATATATATACATATACATAAATAATAATAGTATTTGTATCAGTGATATGGCCATTAAAATATGAAATAAAAATTTCAAATTTCAAATATTTAAAAATATTTTTAGGTGTTTCCACATTAATTTGGAGAATGTGAAAATATATTTGATTTTTTTTTTTTAATTGATCAACAGCCATACTTAAAAATCATATAATACTTCACCCCAAGGCTAAAATTATTCAAAAAACAAAGTTGAAGTCTGGAGTTTAGCAGAAGAAAAAGAAGAGCACCAGGGGAACAAAAGTAACTGAGGTGAAGAGAATGCTAAATGAGTAATGTGGCTGGTGTGTGCACTTGTAAAGAATGTGCATATATGTGTCCCTGTTATGGAGTACATAGTGTTAATGTTGCGTACCGGCTGAGTTCATGCACTCTTCCACTGAGCCAACTGTGAACTTGCTCTGCAGAATGCTGTTCATGTCCTCTAAAAAATTCACAGTCTCAAGAGGGGATTCAATCCTTCCTTTACCTTGATTGAGGGAGAAAAACATAAAAAGCAAGACATTTCAAATTCATGTTAAAAACAGAAAACCTCTATTGTAGCTTGTCAGAGACTACAAATATAATATATGTGAGAATATGAATATAAATTATGCGAGGTATTTAATAATTCCCATCTATTTTTATTGTGTTAGGGGATAATTCGACCCTCAAAATGAGCTGCACAGACAGTCATGATAATTGCAGTGACTATTTGAACACTGAGGTGCACATAACTACAAGTCAGTATAAACAGTATCTACAGTGCCAAACATTAATACTGGCAGCCTTAGTAAATATGAGCAAAGGCAAAAAAGTGCACATACACTTCAGTATAGAGTATAAGCAGCAACCCTCAGTGATACTCTGATAAAATAACACTGAGAAGTGAAAAAAAATTTACTGGTGGTTATAAAATCCTATTAAATGTTCCATGCGATGTTAAATGTTGCCAATGTTTACAAATATTTTTTTCTAAGTTATTTTGGTTCGCTTTTTATTTATTTACAGTGTACTTACACAAGAAAGTACTGAATAATAAAAGGAATGTAATATGCATCGTGGTTAGGTTTAGGTTAGATTCAGGGTTAGTACTTAGTTATTACATAGTACATCGTAAATACATGTAAAATAGGATTTTTTTTCCCCATATACATTTTTATTTTTTAAAGTTTTTGATTTATTTAAGTGAATTAATGAAGTAAAGGTAAATTAAAGGAAGAAAAGGAAGACCATGACTAATAAAAGAAGACTTATGACTTGTCCAGGGTCTTCCTGATGTAGTGAAAGACTGTTTTCTTCAGTCATGAAATGTTTCAACTGGAGAAGAGTGTGAGTAATCTGTACCTGTAGCTGATATTCCAGCACTGGAATCTCCTCGTCCTCTTTGGGCCCAAACTGTTTGCGTGTGGCGGAGAATCGCACAGCCACAGCCACCGCAAGCTTCAGATTGACCAGTGCCATCCTTGTAATGCCTACCCTGCCTCCTGACAGAGCCCCTAAAGATGCCTCAAACCGCTTATTGGGGTCCTATAAAGGTGTGTGGTTAGAAAAAAGACAGGATGGAAAGAAACATGTAATTGAAGTTATTGAAAACACATAGACACAAACCACAAAAAATGTGAGGAAAAAGAAGGGCATCCTCAACCTCTCACCTCTCGTTTGTTTTCAGAAAAAGCCCTTTATGTCTTTCTGTCAGTAATATTGGCTGATGTTCTGGCTTTCACTATGATTAAAAACTCCCTGTTTGTTTGAAAGGAAAGCATAGGGATTCCTTCTCGTACATCTTGCATAGCACAGCACAGCAGCTGGAATAACAGCTGCTGCACCACTGCTTTCTCTTACTGCAGAGGGAGCAAAGCATTGCAAGATGTCTACACAGATACAAACCAAAATAGCTGTTTTTTCCTGCGTTCATAATAACAAAGCAAATACTGTTGCTTTGCACATGTCCTATATTTGAAAAATGAAAGGTGTTACAATAAGGTTCTAAACATTAACAGCTAATGCATTAGGTATCCTGAACTAACAATGAACAATCATTTTGTTTTACACTTTTATTAATCTAGGTCAATGTGAGTTGTTAGCTCATTTTAGTTCTTAATGCATTAATGTTGAAAATCTATTAATAAATACAGAAAATTAACATTAACAAAGATTAATAAATGCTGTTGTATTGCTATTACGAATTTGTATGCATATAACCTTTTTTTTTGTAAATGGATAATAAAACCAGGCAGTATATGTAATGTTTATTAGGCAGTCATATAATATTGCTTACTTTAAAAGGTGAAACATAGCGCCCGTCAGGCGTAACATCTCCTGTTTTGTTTAGCAAGTTTTCCCGAGGTATCCTCACATCGTGGAACACTGCAAAACTGACAAAAACAAAATCATTACTTTATTTTGGACACTCCGAAAATTGTTTTTGTTAAATGATTACAATGAAAAGTAGAATGAAGAATAACATTTTCATTTATTTGAACAGAAGGATATAGTATGGAGATGAAGTGAGACAGATATCAGATGGATACATCCATTTATGGTTTTCTTTTACCGCCATCTAATGTCCAAATACTGTAATCACAACAGCTCAGCAGTCCACAGTCTAGCAGTAAACTCACCCATTATCCAGACCGTTCTGACCCAGTTTCTTTCCCATATCCCTGACCATCACTCCTGGCATTGCCAGCAAGGTCTTTGGATCCCTGACCTAAAAATGTAATTACATTAAAATCAAATTATTCACAGCTGCTCTAACAAGACAAGCAAATGAACTGAAAAATGTATTTTCACACATACTTGGACTACAAAGGAGTGAAGGCCGTGGCATTGCCCATCAGGGGTGTAGAGCTGTGCAAATACGACTGAATGAGTGGCCGTCTTTCCCAAGTTCCCTACCCAGAACTTTGCTGCTTCAAAGTCTGGGGAGTTTATCACAAACTCCTGCAGATTAAAAAATAAAAATAAAAAAAAATTAGCTAGGGCTATCAAAAATAATGAAACAGATGGAAAGATCATAAAAACCAGGTAAAAGAATAATAAGAAAGCTTTTATAATGACAGATGGCTTTGTGTATTGTGGATTTAGCTATAAGCGAGTCATAGTTTGAGATATTTTGTCTCTAAAATGCTCCATTGTGATTTGAATTATTCAGATAACATATAAACAGTTATCATGAATCAACAATGAACAATAGTATTTATTACTCTACATGAATGTTAACTTCTTGTTTTGTATTTATTTTATTTTAATATTTGCTTATTATTACATTAACATTAACCTACATTAATGAATCAACAATCGATGTCTCTTTATGATTTGTAAGGCAATGATTGTATAATCTCATGATATCACTGAAAGTAGAGGACACGTTGTTGCATCGGGTACTGGAGTATACTAGAGTACCTGAGTGCTGGGGTCATATCTTGTCCTCAGGGCTCTCGTGTTGCTGCCATGGCTCAGCTCTGTCAATGCAAAGCATCCAAACGTCTAAAGAGACAGACACAATATTAACATGCTGTCAGTGGCTCATGTGGTTTGCCATGACTAATGTCAAAGGCAACTTGCTGGTTTGTATACACACACACACACACACTTCCTGTTTATGGCCTAATACTGAGCTTGTGTGTCAAAATGTCCTAGTTGTATGGAAGGTGAATAATGATATGCAAGAGAGTCAAAGCCATCTTTTAATGTATCATACTATCATACTTTGAGCACCAAAATATAATAATCTATAAAAGCAAATATTTATCTTATGATAATCTTTAAATTCAAATAATAAAACTGCATTTTCTGGTAACACTTTTCCATAACATTCTTTAGTTAACCATGCACTAACTAACTAGCATTAACTAGCAATGAGCAATACATAGGTTACAGTATTTTTGAATCTTTAAAAAAATAATAATTAATTTTAATAAAAATACACCTCTTCATTGTTAGTTCATGTTAGCTCAGGCTCATTAAATAATCTTAAAAGATGCACGTTTTGATTTTGAAAATGTATTAGTACATGTTGAAATTAACTATGATTAACTAAGACTAACTTTAGAATAATTTTTCATTGTTAGTTCATGTTAAATAATGTAGTTAAGTTTATTGTAAAGTGTTAGCCATTTTCCTTGTGGGTTCTTAAAAAATCCTAAGCAACCATATTTGCTATGAATGCATTCAAGATGTAGTGCATGCTCACTCATTACACTGAACCTGAGAAGCTTTTAGTTGATTTTTTATGGCTGAGATGGTTTTATATTTGCTGCATGCCATAAAAAACTGATAATTTACCATAATTTGCTCAATGTCCTGCACAAACATCAAGTGTCTCCGAGATGCTGTGTTTGCCACTGTGGCTCCAAACACCTAACATGGTTGAAAACAAAAACATTTCGATTTAAAAGGTTTTTAAACAAACAATCCCAAATATTAATTAACAATATTGGCATGGTAATTTTGTGAATTATCCACAAAGAGGCAAAATATCACTTCAAGCAATTACTTGTGTGTGAGCTTTACCCATTTCAAAATGGGTTCATTCTTAATTCGTAATTTGTAAGGATTACAAGCTATTCTTGGAAGGGTAGTGCATTAAAGGGGTCCTATTATGTTTTTTCACTTTTTCAACTTTAGTTAGTCTGTAATGTTGCTGTTTGAGCATAAAACAGATCTGCTTCAAAAGGAGATATTTTATTTAACAGAAATCACTTTTCAAAAACTACAACGAACGACTCGTTTGGACTACAACGCATATTTTCCGGGATTTGTGATATCACAAATATCGACGAATGGGACGAGACCTGGTTGAGCTGCACTAGAGAAGGCAACGAGTGTCATCACTATGTCGGAGACACGCTAGCTTTCCCAAGGTAGACGAACTTAGAGTGGTTACAATCATCCGGGTTTAAATTGCGCTCAAATTGATTTGATTTTGAGCAATATTTACACTGAAGCTCGCAGGTAGCTATGGTAAGGGGCATGACATTTCCCAGAGTGCTGCCAATCACAACACACACTGGCCCAGCTAACCAATCACAGCACATTTCGTATTTCAGAAGGCGGGCCTTCATTTGATACAGGAACTATTCGAGCCGTTCATGCCAGACTGGGGAGAGAGGTGTTGTAATAATGTAAAATATGTGAAAAATAATGTGTTTTTCGAACAACCTAGTATGAGAGCCTGTTCTAGTACACCCCAAAAACAAAATCAAGACTTTGTAAAAGAGCATAATAGGACCCCTTTAAGCTCTCTGGAGGGCATATGAAATGGCCTCACCCCTTTGTTAAGGAAGTACTTGGCTCCCAAAGACCAGTCATACATTCCCAAACAGTCACTGAGGACCGTCATCTTCCAGGGGTTCTACATGACATCATCTCGTGTCACAAAGTCATATTTAAATAACTGTTTACAGCGGCGGAAGGTGATTTCTCGTTTCTGCTCCACTGGGATGTCCTCACCAGGCTGCCGGGGCAAAGAGCGGGTCACTCTCAAGTGCTCTGAACAAGTGCTGCTGCTTAGAGAAAGAAACGAAAGAGAGCTGAGAAGAAATCTATATCAACCTGTGGACTAGTGATGGAAGAAACAAAGCTTTTCGAAACTCTGAATGAATTGAACCAACTGTGTTGCAAAACGAACCACTCAAAACACCGCAGGTTGGCAGCACCTGCTGGTCAAATCAATATACAGTGGGTACGGAAAGTATTCAGACCCCCTTCAATTTTTCACTCTTTGTTATATTGCAGCCATTTGCTAAAATCATGAAAGCTAAGCACAAGCATGCATAATTACTAACCCTTTTACATACCAATTGTAAATGTTTTCATGAAAGTGTAATCAATTAAAGGTGACATATCATGAAAATCTGACATTTCCAGGTTTTAAGTGCTATAATCAGGTCCCCAGTGCATCTACCAACCAAGGAAACGTGCATTATAATATTACTGCCCCTTAATCTGTAAATTTACACCCAGGGCGCCGTTATTGTGTTTTCGCAAGCGACAACGTGTACTAGTTCTAATGGCATGGCGAAAGTTTGAGCAAAACATGCTAACTGTTCTGTCTTTGGCTGCACAGAACGCAGTTTAGAGTCCCAGCCTCAGACAGCAGTGGATTTATTGATTTATTTACTGTATATTGCTGCTGCCACACAGATCTAAAATAAACATGCGATTTATTTCCCAGCTGTTTACCTTCACAGACATAACCGACTGTTTTTTGTAACTTGTGTGTTTTTAACGTAAACTTGTGTGTGAATGAGAACTTAGTTTAGTACTCACATGCTGTGACAGCCACTTTCTGTCCGTGTGCTTCGGATGTGTGCTCTCAGAAAACCGTATATCAGAAGTTTAAACTCATATGGTTTAAAACGCATGATTTCAGCGTGATAAACATGATAATCAGAACCAAAACATAGGTTTTTTAGCAGGTACCAGCTGTAATGGCCCAGTTCTATTCTGGAAAAGGGGGCGGGGAGCAGGAGCTGATTTGCATTTAAAGAGACAGGCAAGAAAAACAGCGTTTTTCTGCTTCCACTCAAAATAGGCATTTTTAAAAAGATATAATAAATGATCTGTGGAGTATTTTGAGCTGAAACTTCACAGACACATTCTGGGGACACCAGAGACTTTACATTACATATTGTAAAAAGGGGCATAATATGTCTCCTTTAAATGTTATCTACAAATAATTAAATACCATTAAATGTGAATGTTCTGTAAACGTTTTGTTCCTTTATTAATGCGTAATGCTCGTTTTGTGTGTTATTAGGCAGGCTTTGGCAAACTAGGTCAATTAGAAGCAATTAAATATCATTCTCATTTTATTATACATGCATAAGTATTAAAAATTCATTGAATGAATTAAAATTAAACTCAATTATAAAACTGTTAAAACCATTAGACACTTATTCATGAGTTCACCAGATCAACAGCATCTAGTGGCAAACTATCAGAATTTTGAAATGCTTTGAAACTAAGGTTTAAAATAGAATAACGTAACAAAAGTCTTGTTTGCTTAAAGGGGTCATATGATGCTGCTAAAAAGAACATTATTTTGGGCTTGGCAAGGTTGAAACAAGCTCTGAACTGCTGATTCAAAACAAAATGAAGCAGCATTTGAAAGCGCCCATCCCTTCACTCAGACTGCTCATAAGGAGGAATCATTCATTTGAAATTCAGCTCAGTCTGTCTGAGGAGCTTTCCTGATATGGACTAAATGAACTAAGCACACTGTCTCTGTAGGGTTGTTAGGACAGATGTATGTGATAAACTTACTTTTGATTTATATAGGTATATTTATATAAGTAGTTATATTGTGCATAACTGCTGTTTAAAATAAAGTATGTACATCTGGTTACAATTTTTGGTTTTATTTATTGTATTTATTTTTTGTCTAGCATAGTAATCTTATTAAATGTGTATTTTTCCTGGCCAAAAAAATTAAAAATAAAATAAAAAGATGAGCAAAACATAAACATCTTACCTTGAATGCAATGATTTCTTCACCCTCCAGAAACCGCAACATTTCCTTCCAGCTGAAGGATGCCTTCTTCCTGTAGATATCCAGTGGACCACTGGGAAGGTCTGGGATGCCCTCATCCATTTTCTCTCCCAAAACATACTTAGCATCTGCTAAGTTCAATTGTTTACGCTGAGTTAAAAAGTCATATGGCACATATACAGTATACATACAGATGTACATGTCACAATATCAAAATAAACAGTAGCACCACCGGCCATGTATTACTACTATTCTAGCACGCTAGCTAACGTCATATCACCACTCATAAACATTAAAGAAAACGTTTTATAAAGTGCATTGTTTTTAAAGATGCAGAAGGATTTGCTTTCATATCAGTAATTTGAATAGTGCTGGAATAACATTTGTTTTAGCTTGTCCCGTAACCTCGAGAGCTACTCTACTCAGCCCTGCCCCCTCGGAGGAGGAAGTGCTCATGTGACCAAATACAACCAACCAGAGAAGCTCTGCTGCTTAAAGGCGCACTGCACTGAAAAATACCTGTGCCCTCTGTGAAAGCCAGCGTCATAAGTGTACCTGGAGGAGTGTGATTCCTTCGGGATTTTTAGTTTAAAGTTTAAACAAACAGGTTATGTTTCTTAGACAGTGGCAATATGGTAAGACAAGGCCATTTATATTTTATTTCTACATCTCATTTAATACACAATGACCATTCAAAGTGCTTTACATAAAAAAGATAAAAAAATCAAAATAAACATTAAATAAGCTAAACAGCTAAATAAGAAATGAACTGAATAAATTAATAAAATTACAATACAAAGTAAGTAATACAATTGATTACAAATAGATTACAAATGTATTTTAAACATTTAGAAAAAACGCGCAGAACATAATAAGATGACTTGGACGCAGCAACGCACAGTGCTCGTTCAAGTTCAAGTGCACAACTAAACAGGTGTGTTTAATCAAACAAACAAATAAAAATGATATCACTATTGTTAAAATATTTTGAAATTAAGTATTTTTTCCGAGTCATTCTGGCACACACAAAGGGCCCTGTTTTGAGTTGTTAACATGATTTTGTATGCCAGGGGACGCTGTTATGCCGCTCTACAGAAAGACACAAGGGGGATGTGTATCCGTGCACTGCACTTGCTTTATTAACTTCTTTTGAGTCTTAGATTTCCAGCCTGTTAACGGGGATTAATGGAAAGAAATTTAATAATCACATCATGTGTAAAGAGAACACAGAGATGCCAAACAATAATTTTTCCAAAGAATCACTTTATTCCGAATGATTTATTATTATAAATAGCATATAATAGACGGTAGCAAATGATTTTATTATGAGGAGAAATATAGTATTTTGAACAAGTTGGGTCTTGCTTTCTGACTCACACATGGGCTGTACTGTAGCTGTTTTGTGATTATTGACTTGTTGGTGAGAACTGCAGTGCTGCATGAAAACCATTCCACAGTCATGCCACATGCATGCATACAGTAATCACTTCAAGACTCAAGGGATGACAGATCAAAATATACAGGGGTTCTCATAAATAAATAAACTGCAGTCTCACTAATATTGTGAGCCTCTCTGTCATTTATATTCAGTGCCACCAAGAATACAGCACAAGAATTCAACAACAACTTAAAGACTACAGTAAAGATGTAGTCAATGTTTAAATTCTCAGTTAATAAACTATTCATTTTATTATATATTCCTAAGTCATGTTTAATTTAAGTAAGCCTGGCACAGAGCATGACCTCACTCTTTCTCACGGCCTCTCATCCCTTCCCTTCCTCTGGGCTCACTCGATCCCTCTCCTCCTCTGTTTGAGCCATAGGGAGTAATGACACAGTGGATAATGTTGTGACCCACTTTGTGCCCCTGGCAGGACTAAAACACTGAACTCACAAACACTAAACAAAAAACAGATAGACATTAAGCATGCATGGGTAAGCAATAACTCTGAAAGCTTTGCTTTGTGCATGCTATAGGTGGGCAAATGTTTCCCAACAACATATCCTAATAATGATACAACACAGCTGAAAACAATGACCTATGATTTATACATTTCTAAATACATTCTAAAAAAAAACAAAAAAAAAGCTCCCTTCTCATTTACCCTGATTAAGCCTAGTCCCAGACTAAAATTTAATTCTGAGCTGTTTCAACTGAAAGAAACTTGCACTGACTGATGTTAAAGTATATCATTGCCTTTGTTTTGTCTCAAGATGCACACCAGTAATGTTTTTTCTAAGGCATGTTAATAAAAAATTACTTAAATGTCATAATTGAACTATTGCCTAGTCCTGGCTTAGTCTAAGCCCTGTCTGTGAAACCAGGCCTTAAAATTGATCAACACAACTACAATTTTTATAGGGTTGATTTTTATTACATTTTTATTAAGATTTTAACTTTTAGATTTATTTTTGTTATATGAAAGTCACATCTATTTCCACTAAATTTCAAATGGCATTTATGTGTAGATTTCAATGACTTTCCAAAGTTAATAGAGAAATGAAACAAACGTTTTTAGAGTTTGAGAAGTGGATTTTAGGATAAATTGTTTTAAATTAGGCTGTAAAAAAGGAGATAAACAGCAATTGTGTCACAGACCAATGTTCGGTGATCATTTTATCTCAGTGTTCTTTTTTAATATATATATATGTTTTTTTAGTTTTAATCTTTTTTTCTATAAATTTGGAAGCAGATTATGAGCCCAATCCAATATTTTATGGTTATCTTAAAAGACTAGACACTAAAGACGTTGGGAAGAGTGTTGCTCTAATGCTCTAATGTTAATGCAATATTTATGTCCTTCATATCCTCTCTCTAAGTGCACGTAATTTTAATGGATCTGGAAATG